GACTTAACATCTCTGAACATTACTTTTTTCATCTGCAAAAGGGGAGCAACACCTGCCTCCCCATGGATAACACCTGCCTCTCTGTGGATAAATCACTTTGGTACATGTTAAGAAGAAACAGGAAAATAGAAATTCTCACACCTGAATGTGTACGTCGAGGGCAATTTGGTAATATCTTCTTTTGTCAATTTAACAAATATAGGGCACTTAGAATGTGTCTGGAACTACCCTAGTCACTTCACAAATATTAACTTATTCAAATTTTGTGGCAGATTGTGTAAATGGCAGCTGTGATTCCCCTCGCTGGATCCTTGTCCCTGGAGAGTGTCCTCCCATGGAGACTCTGAGCTGGGCCATAAGGCTACTCTGGTCAGAGGGACAACACAAATGTGCCACAAGCGGAGATCTGAAAAACGCCTGTGCTCTGGGGTGTGCCCTCTCTTGCCATTCTTTGTTCTGAGACCACCATGGGAAGAAATCTGAGCTCATCGACTGGAGCATGAGAGGCCACACGCCATCCCAAATGAGGTCCCTGTAGAGCAACTCACTTGTCAACTACCAGACATGTGAGGGAGGCCATTCCAGACCCTCCAGATACCAGCTGGCCCACCAGGTGACCAGGGAAGCAGAGAGAACCCAGCAGAGCTCAGCTGGACACGCTCAGACAAGACAACCCACCAGCCAACCTACAGACTCAGGAGCTGAGTATAATAGCTACTGTTTTAAGCCACTAAATACGGGCTTTATGCCAATAAATATTATGCAACAAAAATTAAATGATACAATCCTTGTAGCAATCCTATTAGGTAGATACTATAATTATCTCTATTTTACGAATCAGGCAACTGAGGCAAAGAAAGGTTAAGTGACTTGCACAGCTTGTAAATGGCAGAGTTAAGATTGAACCCCAGGCAACCTGGCTCTAAGTCTGTGCTACACTTGGAGATAAATATATCTCCCTGTACTATCTATGCTGCTTCACCTAAGAAAAGTAAAGATAGTCATAACAGTTGACTCAGAAAGTTATCATACAGATATACTTACACACATGTAGAATCATGTATGTGTAAGATTATTCACTGCAGCACTGCTAATAGCAAAACAATTCTAGTATGTCCATACAAAGGTATCCAATATACAGCCATAAGAAGAACCAGGTAGATCTACAAATATTCACCTTGTGTACAAGGGATAAAAGCAAAGCGCACATATATGCTACATGTACATGTACATTTGTGTGTAAAAAAACGGGGAAGGTATGAATATACAACTACTTGTATATGAATACGTTATTTTTGAAAGGGCACAAGAAATGGGTTTAACATCAATTACTTCTAGGGAAAGGGTTCCAGACAGCTGGGCAACAGAATAGGAGGAACAATTTTCACTGTAAACTTTTTCTTATCTTTTAAATTTTATATTAGGTAAATATATCATCTATTAATTTTTACTTTAAAGGTTGTTATGTGCATGCAGGGAGACACTACAGGCCTATCACAGAGAGAGCAATCAATAGTAGCTACAATTATACTTATTTTTCACAACTGATTTCTGACTCTTTCTAACACAACTAATTTTTTTTTATGTAACCAATCCTCTGAAACTCCTGGTTCTGCAAAGAAAAGAGCTCATTCTGGATGTTAAAATAAAGAACAAAACATTAACTAGCTGGTGAAGAGGTGGAGGACGAATCCAGCGTGTGGCTTCTCTGGTGGTCATGATACATGACGCTCAAAACCACTGGGCAGAGCGATAATGCAGCATTTCAGCCTCCCCTCAGAGAAACCCACATAATGTGCTCCTATTTTGTACATTCCCTATGCACCTTCCCAGTCATTCAGGAGCGCCAAATCAAAGTAATTACTTTCTATTCTAATAGTGTGTCTGCCCTCCTTCTGCAATTACTGATCTACAACAATTGGAAGGTTGCCACATGCAGCTGCCAAACTGCTAAACTGTCTGCTTCTCCAGAACCAGAAACAGTCCGGGGCAGGAGCAGGCAGCGTGTAGGCAAGAGGGCATAATGGTGAGAGCCAGGGCTTTGGAGTCAGGCAAACCAGGTACAAATCCCAGTTCCAACACTTAGCTGAGAGGCCTAGAGCAACATGCTCAACCCTTCTGAGCTTGTTATCACATATGTAAAAAGGTGACCAGTTACTATTTCACAGGACCCTTGTTAATACATGTGCCACAGTACCAGGTATACAGTAAATGTTCACTAAATGTTAGCCATTTCCATTATCATTGGGGGCATTCCACCTGAGGCCTAACCGCCTTCTTTTCTCCATCTCTCTTTCTGTGTGTCTGTGTCCCCCCATCCTCTCTCCCACACACCCCAACAATTAGAAACCTTAGGTGTACATTACAGGATTCCCCCTCCCTTCCTCCCATACCAGCAAGTTCAGTGGACTCAATCTTCAAAATCCACCCATCCTTCCACCTCGCTCCATCACTCCTGCACACAAAGATGGTCTCCCTTTACCACTACCACCTCCATCCCATGATCCATTCTATACACACTAGCAATGGTGATCTTCAAAAAAATAAACCAGAGCACAACATTCTTTTCTTTCTCCTTAAAATCTTCTAAATGGCATCCCTTTGCATTTATGCTAAAAATCAGTATTTCTTACCACGGCCAACAAAGGCCCTACAAAACCTACCTCTCCAACCTTGCTTCATTCCACTCTCTCCATTCGCACGCACTCCACTGTGCTTCAGTCCCGCTGTCTTCTGTTCCTCACACAGGCCAAGCCTGCTCCTGCTCAGAGCTTTTGCATGACCCTTTCCCTGACCCTTCACAGAGCTGACTTCTTTTCATCACGTAATTCAGTTTAAATGTGAAACTCTTAGAAATGTCTTCCATGACCACACAAACTATACCGGCTTCACTCCTGATCCATTCCCCACTTTATTATCCTGCTTTATTTCTTCATAGCACTATCACTACCTAAAATTACTGGTATGTGTACTTTATTGTCCAATTTCTCAACCAGAACGTAGCTTCCAAAAGAACAAGGCTCTTGGCTATCATCACCCTGCTGTTCTTGTAGAGCTAAGAACAGTGCCTACACACAGTAGGTGCTTAATACAGATGCCTTATGGAGGTGGCGGTGGGTGTTTAAAATGCAAATTGCTGAGCTTCAGTCTCAGACATTCTGATTTAATATATCTAAAGTGGAGCTCAGGAATCTGCATTCCTAGCAAGCATCCATCTCTTTCACCCTAAAGCAGGTCATGCAAATTACATTTTAAGATACTCTGGTTAATGCCACCCATCCCCAAGTCTTGATTCTTCCTCTAACACACGTTCCTTAGGCATACAGATCCTATCCCATCTTTGTTCCTTAATTATCTCCCTGGCACTGAAGATAAAAGGACATTGCTGACCCCCGAATTTGGAGTTCACACAGGTTACCCTGCCAGTTCCCATTTCTGCTGCTCCACCAGTGCCACGCATAACAAACCAGCTGGGCAGCCTGGCTGGAATCCTGTTCTTCCCAGAAACACCTGAGCAGGTTTGGACTAACTCCAAAAGGTAAGCCAGGTGTATTTTCATGTCAGTTCACCAGCAAACTTACCAGACAAAGCTGGAGCCAATTCATACTTGCTCTACATGCCTCCAAATACCACTCCTCACTTCAGCTCCACCCCCAAACACACACACACTTAATTCTGGTACCAACTCCAAAATGACAGGCCAGAGTTCCCTTAGAAGAGACCTAGCAGCTGGGAGGAAGAAATTCTTGAAAGGCTCAGGTGACGAAAATAAAAGGCACGCACATGCCTTAGTAACAAGGCAACCCCAAACCCCTGAGAAATTCACACGCTCTAATGAGGAGTCGTCCTATTCTGTTTTTCCCGTTTCTTCTCAGGCTTGTCTCTCCAGAGAACACCCTTTCCTTGGAGCCTACTGTCATGGGGTGGGCCTTAGCAGGTCTGGGAAAGTGTTTGGGCGACCTGTTTGAATGTCCTCTCGTTTCCTCTACTCCCCCTTCTACTCTGTAAGTAGAAGATCCTGTGTTTGATTAAAACAATCTCCACCTCCAACATCAAAATCCAAACGGCGTCTTGGCACTGGTCACTTAGCGATCACCAACACTTTCGGGCACATTAGCTCCCCAGACAGATAAGACCAAGCTGCGCAGGGCCGGCGCGCGCGCGCTCTCAGGGCCGCCGAGGAGCAGCACCGACCTCCCAGGTGTTCCTCGAGGTGGAATAAACCCTGCAGTTCGGTCTGAAGACTGGCGTTCTTCCGCTAAGAGCTCCACCCGGGCGAGGGGTGTGCGGGGACTCCTCAGACCTGCTGTGCAGGAAGCCACCGACCCTGAGGGCGCCCCCCGCAGGCCACGCGCTGCGAGCCTGTCGCGTCGCCGGGACGCTGCGCAGGTTCCGGTCCGCCGGCACCGCGCGGCTCGCGGGGGCCGCCGGAGCAGCTCGAGCTCACGCTCCATCGCACCTCGCAAACGCCGACAGCTAGGCGAAGCCTGCGGGCCATCTCCCCGAAACACACCCGCAGGGCCTCCGCCCGCCCTTCCCCGGACTCGGACCGATGCCCGCCTCCCTGGGGGGGCGCCCCGGAGCCCAGCCGACGCCCGGGGCAAAGTTTAAGAGGCTCCCGAGGAGAGAGCGGCGCCGAGCAGAGCGCAGCTGTGAAAGAAGCCGAGCGGGCATGAGGGGGGCGGCGAAGGGGCTCCCCTAAAAAACGGAGGCGGGGGTGGCGAGGCACAGCCCCCTTGGGCCCCAGGGCGGCGCGGGCTGTGCGCCCCGACGTGTTGGCGCCGCGGCAGGGAGTGCGCGCGGATGCCCTCGGCGGAGGCGACGCCGCCGCTCCCGGAGCCCCGACCCCGCCTCGCCCCCCGCTCTCAGCCCCGCCCGCCCGGCTCGGCTCTCCCGCCGGCGGCGGTGGCCGGGAACGGGTCCCGGGGACGCCCTCACGCCCCACCCCCAGCACACTGGCCACCTGCCCCCTCGCGCCGCCGGGGCGACGGCGCACTCACCCTCCGCATGGTGCCGGGACCGTCCGGCCGGGCTCCGCGGCGCAGGCATCAGGGTGAGGCCGCAGGCCGGGCAGCGGTGCACGGCGGACCCGGAGCGCCGCGCTGCCCCCGCCCGCACACGCGTGCGCCGCGGCGGACCAGCCTGCGGGCGGCGGGCGGCCTCCGCGGGGGCGGGGCACGCGGGGGCCCGGGAGCCCGGGGCTGGGCCGGCCTGCGGAGCGCGGGGACCTCCCGGCTCCGGGGCTCCTCCTCTCCGGCGGCGCTCTCCCCACCTTCCCGGGCTGCCGCGCCTCTCTCGTACTCCTCGAGTTCCCGCCGAGCCGGGGAGGAGGTGGCCTCCGGTGGCCGCCCCGTGCCCCACTCTGCACCCCCGGCTCCAGACCGAGTTGAACGTTGGTGTGAACCATGCGGGGAGCGAGGTTTAAGCAGCAAGAGGGAACTGGTGGAGAACTGCGGTGGGAGTTCTCACTTCCTTAAAAGTACTACTGTTCTCCCGTTGGACGGGAGGGTGGCCCGCTAATGTCCGACCCTGGTCCTTAGATTCTGTGATTGTCCTTTGGAAGTCCTGAGCACTCATAAACCGTTTTGGAGGAGGGGTGGGGTGAGAGTTAAGAGTGGCAATCAGCAGATGAACCCAGGAGGAAAGACTGCCTCTCGGAATGGAGATGGTCTAGATGTACGTAGACATAGGAGCTCAGCAGGAAAGGGTCTTCATCCCCATTGCAGCAGAAACCACAGGTCTTCTGGGCAGACCACTGCGTGCAAAGCTCCCTCTGCACAAATGGCCTCCTAGCCCCCACCCCAACTTCTCCAAACAGGGAAAGCCCACCCACAAAAGTTAATCGTTCTGCAAAAAGATGAGGCAGGCAGGATATATTCCTCCTGATCATGAAAACGCTACCCACCCCTGAGCCAGTGGAATGCAATTTCCCAATTCTCAAGAATAAAAATGGGATGGAATAATGTGTGAGGGTCTTCTTGGGAGAAACCTAGCTTTATTCTTTAGAGCAAGATAAATCAAATAGCACAGAATTTAAGACAACCTGAATTCAATGTAGAAAAAAATATCTTTGTTTACCAAAGGATTCTTTGAAAAGCATACAAGAACGCTGTGTTTTCAAACTAGGCTGTGTCAGGTAAGCAAGCAAACAGCAATAGGCATGTGAAGGCTTCTACTGGGTAAACACTTCTGATGAATGTCTCAGCTTTTACACTGCCTGGCTACCAGTTATTGTGGCAGATTACCACTTAGCACCACTGTTGAAGAAATACCACTGATATTTTCTAACTCTGATAGAGTGTCAGCAGCACTGTAGAGACCAAGTCTCTTTATGATCTAAAGAATAAAAACATTTTGTCTGGATTTTTCTTTGCTGCCCAGCAGCACAGATAAAAGGAGAGGTGACTGGTATATTAGGAGAAAAAGTAAAGGAAGGAAATTAATGAAGCCTGCTAACCCACCTTTTTACTTCAACTTACTGGCCACACAGAGTGGGTGTTTTCCTCTCTTGACATGGCTCTCTTCAGATTGGACTTTGATGTTTTACCTTTGGGGAAATATATTTTAGTAAAAGTACTTACTTATGCACCATAGACTTTAACTATGTTATCACTTTCAATCCATTCAACCCTATGAAGTGAGGCCTATGATTTTATGGTTTTTCAGAGGAAGATACTAAGGTCAGAGAGAGTAAGTAATTTGCCCGAGGTCATACAACTTGTTAGTGGCACAGTCAAGATTTAGACTTGACAGTCCACGAACTTAATCTCCATTACTGCCCTTTTGTGCTCTAATTCATATCAAAGGTACAACAGTAGAAAGGTGTTACTCAAAGTAAAAACATGAGCTCTTGACATAGATCAAATTAGTTGTCCCCATCGCGGGGCCTTACCTTCCTCATCTGACCTCGGACTAAATAAATGTGTTCGGGACCTGCCCAGAAGTAAAGCTCTAGTATTAGAGTATTACCATATTCATATTTGTGTTCAGCATTGTGGGAAATCTTAACCTTGAGATACAATGTTAGTAACTTCATTGGTTTGTATGTTACCACAGCGCTTTGTTTTATATTGTTCCTGCTGCTTTCTACAGCACTACCTCTTTCTCCTCCTAATTATTTCCTTTGTGAATGCAATGTCTAATCCAATTAATGTTAATTTCTTCCTAAATGTGATAAGACTACTGTGTGAGGGGGGCAGTCTCAGTAATTGTTAGGATGATCTTCAAGCATTAGTTAGACTGAATAACCTTTAAACTTCCTCCAGAAACCAAGACAATGTATTCCACTGTCCCGGTAAATGACACCACAGTCTATGCTAGGAGGACACAGTCACACTGTTCATCTATGGGAATCCCATGTTTCCAGTACTATCATTAACTAACTTGAAGAACCAATTCAAAAGTGGAACTAGACTAAATCAGGTTTTCCTCATTTTTAGGAGGAGAGGGAGGAGGAGGGTCTTTATTTTCCTTCATATGCTTAAAGGATCTTTAAAGTGCTGTAATAAGAAGCTTTGTGTTCTAGTTTGTATTATCACACCTGCATTAGCTTTCTAAACTCAGACATATTATTTCCTTGAAAACTACTTAATATTTGAGAACATAGAATATATTTTTTCCTTTTAATTTTTTTCTTAATTGGGTGGCAACATTTCCACCAATCACAAACAACAGTGATATTCAGCCCTCTAGATTATCAGGCTGGCTTGTCTGTGCCTTAAATACAGGAGGAAGTGTACTAGGATGGGGAGGTCAACATAACTTCTTCCATTAATTATTAACATAGATAGGCATTTGATATAAAACTGAGCAAAAATGAACCAGTTTACAATTTCACATAAAGAGTAAAAAAGAAATTAATAATTTGGTCTACTTTTTGTGGATAAGAAATGTTACCAATTTGCATAAAATCTTACCCAGTCTGTATCCTCCATTTGGAAACATATTAGTAATGGGATATTGTTTTTCTTTGCCATGTTCTTAAATTAGAATGCCTAAGAAGGCATCTGTTAAATACTGACTACATGGAACATACATTATAGGTTGAATCGATTCATATTTCCCTGAAACAACTGAGAATAATTTCAAGAAACCATAATGTTCACAACTGCATGTATTGAGCACTTTACATGTCCCAGGTAATGTGACAAGCCATTTTGCATGTATCAATGTGTTTTACCCTCACAAAATCCTACCAGATGTTCTTATTATCTCCATCTTACATATTAGGAAACAGATTTATTGAGATTAAACATTTTTCAAAGGTTACATGGGTAATAAGTGTTACAGACCTAAGCCAAATCTGTCTGACTGTAGAGCCTGAGATTAACCAATGACAGGTGGCAGCTAAAGCATCACAGACTTTTCTCTAACAAACTTCTTCAAAGCAGTGGAAATGTGAGCCAAGAATTTTATAGCCAGTAAACTGACCTTCAAGTATTTATACTAGAACAGAATAGAGTTTGCTAAGAAAGGGTTCTTGAAGAACATGAGTCCTTAGCTTTAAAAAAATACAAGATTTGAATTGGAAGACTGAGGAAGATTCTTGATAGGGGACAGGAGAAGGACCAACCACGTGGAGGTAGTGACTGTGAAACGACTAGATCTGGAGAATTCTGACACACATGACTGGGGCGGTAAGCCTGGTGGCCAGTTAATGAGGTGCTAGGGATATTTGTCAGGGTACCATTACACACATTTCCTCCAAACTTTTTAATTATCACAGTCACTTAAAAATACTCATCGATTTTGCTGTAGAAGGTCTATGTGGTTGCTATGCCATTTCTTTTCCCCTTGCCCTTGTCAAGGCCTATTTGATTTCTCTGAGCCACAATCTGGGGATTCTGTATTCCAGTAATTTTTTTTTTTTTTTTGGTGGCCTGAAGATGCAGCAGTGGAGTAGAGAAGAGCTTACCTGGAGCTGTATGTAACCTGTGTCAGAGGAATTTGATTCTGCTCTCTCCTCTGAGGTTCTATGCCAGGGTTCATTCCCTAATGTATATTTAAAAAGACAAAATTCACCCACACTTCCACCCCAATACTATTTCTGTATTTTCAGTCTCCTCCCTAGTCTTTATACAAATGCATATCTGTTTGCAATCTGTCTACATGGCTATCTCTCCTGCAAGACTCAGCTTCTTTAAAAAAGGGTCTGTTTTCATAATTTTTATATCTCTAGGGCCTATCATAAAATAGGTGCTCATTACAAGTTTAATAAATGAACGAATGATGTTAAAACCATATTGTAGTCTGCTGTTTTCCCTCAACAAATGGTTGTACTGGTTGCTTAACACCCACATCTCACTGATATATTATCATTTAATCTTTCCCTTGTATTGCCATTTAACTTGTTTCAACTCTTCTGAAATTCCTTGTGAGTTAGTAAATAGGGACATAATTTGATACAAAGAAAGATTTGGAGGGGAATCACGTGAACATGGTCAATCAAATAGTCCAGAGATACAGAGACCAGGGAGGAGGCTGACCCCAGTCACATAAAATGAAGTTGATAAGTTGACCAGGGCCAGGACTAGGGTGGTGACTGTGGAAATGGAAAGAGAGAAACAGATGCTACATCTACTGCTAAAGTGGAAAAATGTAGCCATGGATTTTACCTTACATGGGGCTAAATGTAAGACAGTGGAGACATTGTCTTGTGATGAAGAGCATTGTTTTAGCACCATGGATAGCTCCTGAGTGGCCAAGTAGGGGCTCTGGTTGGCACTGCTGCTGTCAGTGATGGCTCCTTTTAATAAAAAAACAATAATGAACATTTATTGAGCATATGCTTAATGAAAGACTTACATGCATTAACTTATTTAATTTTTGTAAGCAAACAGGCAAAGAAATGTCACATAGAGTTCTCCAAACTTGTACAAATAGCAAGGGGCGGAGCTAATTTGTGGACTCAGGTAGTCTGTCTCCAAAACTCATTATACCACACTGTAAAAGGCAAATACTATTAAGTATGATAAATACTATAACATAAAAGCACAAAAGAGGGATATCTGAAGTACCTGTTGGAGGACAAGGAAGGGAGAAGTAGTCTGGGAAAGCTTCCCAGAGAAGAGAATACTGAAACTAAGTTTTGAAGGATGAATGGGATTTAACTACAGCAAATGGCCAATAGACTTCCTAAAGCTCTGTTTTGAGATGGATTCTGAGTCCAGATCCAGGCTCAGTAAAAAGCTTCCTATGATCAATTAGAAAATGAGATAGAGAATGATAGGAGACCTGAGACCAGGGAGGTGGGTGGATCAAATAATGAAGGATCTTAGATGTAAGTTAAGAAGTTTATTTCTCCTAAAAGCTACAAGAAACCACTGAAGAGTTTTAAGCAAGATGCCACAGGATAAAATTAGCATTTTACAAAAACCATCCTAA